CCGCTGGCAATTTCTACATCTCCGGCTTTTCCCTGTTTTTCTTCCTGTAAGTACGCAAGAGTGTCCGCTGGCAATTTCTACATCTCCGGCTTTGCCCTGTTTCTCTTCCTGTAAGTACGCAAGAGAGTGTGCGAAGTTGTAATAGTAGCTGATATAGTATTAGTAATAATTCTATATGTTAATAGGTAACTTGAAGACATGTTTAGTATGCATTATGTAAGATATTAAGTGTTTGTCCTGATCGACTTACACATAAGATGTCTTTTGCTGTAAGTGCGCGCGAGAGTTTCCGCTGAAGGCAGGGTGTAGGCGGACTCGGCCGGTAGACGTGGATGGCGATTGGCAGTGGAACGTGCGCGAGATCAGGGGGAGGGGCGGGGAAGGAACGGAGACAGATCCCTAGCTTCGCGACAGGCCGTTATTTATTTATTGGGGATGGATGCTTGGCTATCGAGGAGGCTGTGAATAACGTGGGTACGATCACTACCTTTGAGTAAATTGTAGGATAAATTCAGGGTTGTTGAGAAAGCCATGTGGAGTGCTGGATAGAATCTTGGCTCGGGTGCAGTGCTACGGACGTAGAATATATCATTGGCTTTGGCAGGGGTGGGCTTGTGTGTGATACGAACTAGATCTGTGCGACAATCTAGATAAATTGTCTAGCTGTATGCTATCCTTGCAATCCTTTGCATAGCTTGGGTAAACCTTGCATCAATATCGTTCATATTTGCACTGGTATTAATAACACTAAAGGTCAGATTGCAATGCGTTACTCTATCATGCTACAGTGCTGTGTGTGTATTTATATAAGAACATCGGTACACATGCAAACCCAGTGGTTTAATATGAGAAAATGATCTTGATTGCATAGCATCGACCACGATTAGTGTCTAGTAGACAATCAAATAATGATATCGGCATCAACTATAGCTGCGTTCACACGTATACACGGCCTCGCTGGTTCCGTACTTAGTTGGTGCTGAGTTCGGCTGAAATGCGTTCACACGAGATACACGAGATTCGAGGCTTAGCTAGCTAGGTATAATATAGACTGGTACCCGGTCGACAGTTCCACACGCTACACTAACGTCGTGCAGCGAACGGGTACCAGTCTAGGTAGTTTCGCAATTCGAATGCGTTCACACGAGATACACGAGATTCGAGGCTTAGCTAGCTAGGTATAATATAGACTGGTACCCGTTCGCTGCACGACGTTAGTGTAGAGTGTGGAACTGTCGACCGGGTACCAGTCTATATTATACCTAGCTAGCTAAGCCTCGAATCTCGTGTATCTCGTGTGAACGCATTTGAATTGCGAAACTAGCGCGCTTACCTAGACTAGTACCCGTTTGCTACACGACGTTAGTGTAGCGTGTGGGACTGTCGACCGGGTACCAGTCTATATTATACCTAGCTAGCTAAGCCTCGAATCTCGTGTATCTCGTGTGAACGCATTTGAATTGCGAAACTAGCGCGCTTACCTAGACTAGTACCC